TGTCCCTCAGCTCTTCAGCTCAGGGCGAGCGCTCTACCACTTGAGCCACAGCGCCACTTCCAGCTTTTTTCTTTTTGCTTATGTGGTGCTGAGGAATAGAACCCAGGGCCTCAGGCATGCAAGGCAAGCGCTCTACCACTGAGCCACCTTCCCAGTCCATCTTCTAATTTCTTGTTTTACACTGTGTTTTGTACACATTTTAACAAGGTCATCCCTGTTTAACGTCATTTGTTTCCTGTGTGTTGTGGACTTAGAAATATTAAAAAGAAATCAAATGTAGTGTTAAAAATCTAGTGCTAATTTAGCCAGGCACTGGTAGCTCACTCCTGTAGTCCTAGCTACTCAGGAGGTTGAGGTCTCAGGATTGTGATTCCAAGCCAGTCAGACAGGAAAGTCTGTAAGACTCTTTATCTCCAGTTAACCACCAAAAAGCTGGAAGTGGAGCCATGGCTCAAGTGGTAGAGCACTAGCCTTGAGCAAAAGCACCCAGGGACAGTGCCTAGGCCCTGAGTTCAAGCCCTAACCCCTCTGGCTGCAGCTGGTGGTTACTGGGACAGTCCTGTGGGGAAGATGTGTGTGAGCTGGGGTTACCTCACCAGTGTAGCGCTGTGTGATGAATGCCCAGATTTTTCTTCTGGATGCTGTTAATCAGAACACACTGAATCTTGTTGGTTGTATGAGTTCATTTCCATGGACCCTGCTTGGGGGCTTCCTCTCACGGTGTCTCAGGTCTTGGGGTTATGACTGACATAGGAAGAAGACTCGTTCTGGCTTCTAGCTGCTCCCACCCAGGGACACTGCAAGAGACACACGGGAACTTTGAATTCTGTCTGAAATGCCAGTCCTGCGGGGGTGAGAGCTGGCTCGGTTAGAACTGAAAGTTTAAAATAGCATGGGCCTTTTGTATTCTCATGACTTTTTTTCCTGAATACTCTTCGTTTCTTCTTCTCATCCTGTGTGTGGGGTGTGGGGGAGAGAGAACGGGAGAGCAGTGATGTTGTAGCTCTTTGCCGTTAGTCCACATATCTACAGGTCTGGTGTTAAGGGCTTTAGTTTACTGAAATCAAAGCCAGGTAAAACCAGTGTTTGCCTCTGCCCCCCTGCCGGGCCTTTGCTCTCAAGCAGAGATTCAGTCTTCTGGAGACATCGTTGCTTTTCCAGTGCCCCAAATTCAATACCTGGCCTGGTTGCTGGGCAGATGGCGCCCATCGGTGAGCCGCAGCTGGGCTGTGTAGCAGAGGGTGGTGCTGCCTGCTGCGTTAGACTGAGCTTCAGTCCAGCGCTGAGGGCCGTGCTGGGCTGCGGGGCTCTCAGCACTGGCCCCTCCTCCCCACCCCCACGCGGACAGGGGAGCCGGTTGGCTTGGAGTCAGAGGAGGTGTGGCTCTGGCGATCTGAGTGATGGCCTCACCTTGGGCGTCAGGTGCGTGGGCCCAGAGTCTGGCGTGGGGTGCCACCTCTGTCAGCTGGTAACCTGGTGCTGCCCATGGCTGCCCTCTGCCAGGGCACAGGAGGGTGTGCGTGGGGAGGGCAGGCTTCGTCTGAAAGCAGAGAGTTGGGCTCTGTGTTCACCAGTGAGGCGACAGCCTTGGGCCTCAGAGAGGGAGGGCAGGGACTGGGCCTCACTCTGGACAGGAGAGGCGGAAACCTGCCTGCGGCCCCGGGCTTGACCCTCAGAGTGGCTGCGTGGTGAGCGGGGCTCTTCCACCTCTGTCTGGGCTTGACCCTCAGAGTGGCCGCTGGTGACTGGGGCTCTTCCACCTCTATCCGGGGTTGACCCTCAGAGTGGCTGCGTAGTGACGGGCTCAGGGCACCCCCGGCAGCCTTCCACCTCTGCCCGGGGTTGACCCTCAGAGTGGCCGCGTGGTGAGCGGGGCTCTTCCACCTCTGTCCAGGGTTGACCCTCAGAGTGGCCACTGGTGACTGGGGCTCAGGGCGCCCCCTTTCACCTCTGTCCGCAGCTGTGCTGGGGCCTTGCCACCAGGCGAAGCGCAGGCTGCACCAGGACTCCGTGCGGCAGCCTCTGCCGGGCGAGCGGCAGAGGACGGGCGTCCCCTCGGCTCCTGGGAAGGCTTAGGAAGGCGTGGCGCCCACCCCGGCCCGAGGGCAGCTCCACGCTCCCCAGCACCTGGCCTCAGGACTCGCCCCAGGCCGCTCTGCTCAGGCGCCCTTGGGGTTCCCTCCTCTCCCGGCATCCTGGGCTGGCCGGGAGGTTCGGGCTGGATGATGACAACGGCCTCATCACCTCTGGGACAAGGCCCAAGAAGGGAGTGGAGGGGAGAGCTGCAGAGCGCGCGGAGCGCAGGGCCTGCTTGTCTGGGAGGAGAGTGGAGAGGGAAACACAGCCCCAAACTCGGCCAGGTACTAAGCTCCGTGAGTCAGCAGCTGCCCTGTGCTGCGGGCGCTCCGGTAAGGAGGCTGCAGCTCCGCACTAATCTTTGAATCTCAGACCCAGGAGACCAGGCCCCCACAGCGCAGGACAGAGGACCCCCCAGGCGCAAGTGTATGACCCGGCCAGCGCGCGGGGGCAGGCGCAGGGGTGGCAGGGAAATAGCCTGGATTTTGCTGAAAGAGCAGTGGCGCTGAGCGTGTGTGGTGGGGGGCGCCCCTGTGCTGTCCGCCTGCCCACTTCCCCGCAGCCCCAGCCAGAGCCCCATAGGCCATGGTGACCTTACTAACGCTTCTTTACACAAAGTACTTTTAAATAGCTGTGCACAAGTGTTTCAATTCAACATGCCAGTTTATGTGTGCAGTGCTTTGACCCGAGGGGTCTGCTGGATGAACTGGTCCTGGGCAGATAGAAGGGTCCAGACCGCCCTGGCAGAAGCTCTGCTCTGAGCCTGGGCCCAGGCAGAGGGTCACGAGCTCTGTCTCCTCCAGCTGTCAGCACCCACGTTACACTCCTGGCACCTTCCTCCCTGCAGAGGTCAGACCCGCAGCTGTTGGCCCAGTTCTACTATGCCGACGAGGAGCTGAACCAGGTGGCCGCAGAGCTGGACAGCCTGGACGGGCGCAAGGACCCCCAGCGGTGCACTCTGCTCGTCAGCCAGTTTCGCTCCTGCCAGGTGAGCCGTGGGTCCGGGGGTGGCCCTGGAGGAAAGGCTGGTCCTGCCTGGGTGGTGTCCAGGCCTAGGACGGCCTTTGTCACCCCCTCTGTTCCATAGGGACAGCCTCAGGGTCCCTCGGGATTGCTGGAGAAGCCCAGCCCAGGTCGTGGGCAGAGCACAGTGGGGTGGAGGGCAGTCAGCACACGGGATCCCCGTGTGGAACAGAAGCTGGTGGGAGGGGGTTGGGAGCCTTGGGCTCCTGAGCCCGGGACCGATTCACCTGCTCCAGGCGCCCTGCAGGGGTGCGGGAAGCAGTGGGCGGCGTGGCCCTGCACCGCTGCTGACTCACAGGCTGCAGCTTCTGCTGCATAATTCACAGACAGCCTGGAAGCAGCTACTAAAAATACTCAGGACTGCAACCACGTGCACCCTGGCATAGCGGCCATGGGCGGCCCCTGCCGGAGGGCAACCTGGGGCCCAGCTGGTAGCACCTGGGTTGGCTCAGGTCTGTGGTGGACCTGCGCCAGTCCATTGGGCCACTTCCTACATGCCCTCTGTCCACGAGGCCTGACCCACGAGCCCTCCCCCCCAGCAGGACACTCTGTCCATGTGGCCTGACCCACGAGGCCCCCCCACAGCAGGACACTGTCACGTAGCCTGACCCATAAGCCCTCCCCCCACAGCAGGACTGTCCACGAGGCCTGACCCACGAGGCCCCCCACAGCAGGACACTGTCCACGAGGCCTGACCCACGAGGCCCCCCACAGCAGGACTGTCCACGAGGCCTGACCCACAAGGCCCCCCACAGCAGGACTGTCCACGAGGCCTGACCCACAAGGCCCCCCACAGCAGGACACTGTCCACGAGGCCTGACCCACGAGCCCTCCCCCCCAGCAGGACACTCTGTCCATGTGGCCTGACCCACGAGGCCCCCCACAGCAGGACTGTCCACGAGGCCTGACCCACGAGGCCCCCCACAGCAGGACACTGTCCACGAGGCCTGACCCACGAGGCCCCCCCACAGCAGGACACTGTCCACGAGGCCTGACCCACGAGGCCCCCCACAGCAGGACTGTCCACGAGGCCTGACCCACGAGGCCCCCCACAGCAGGACACTGTCCACGAGGCCTGACCCACGAGGCCCCCCACAGCAGGACTGTCCACGAGGCCTGACCCACGAGGCCCCCCACAGCAGGACTGTCCACGAGGCCTGACCCACGAGGCCCCCCACAGCAGGACTGTCCACGAGGCCTGACCCACGAGGCCCCCCACAGCAGGACTGTCCATGAGGCCTGACCCACAAGCCCTCCCCCCCAGCAGGACACCTTTGGGGCCCCCTCATGATCTGTGGCTTTGCGTTGTTTGGTGACGGCCTCCACTCATGAAACCATTTGTCCCTTTGGAGCTGCTGCCTCCAGCCTCACGTTACAAACATGCTGGCCAGGGCCAGGGGCCGCCTGGCGGAGGCACTCCACGGAGGAAATGCTCAGAGAGGCCGGAGCCACCCCCTCTGCAGCCCACGTGGGACAGAGGGGAAGATTTTGGTCCCTGTGAGGCATGAATGTTGTCCCTCCCCTCTCGCTGTGGACTGGGTGCTTCTGCTGCTGATGTTGTCTGAAGGCCATGGGGAGGGAGAGGGAGAGGTGGCTGGCGCGCGCTGTGGCCCCTTTCCAGGCTGGCGTCACAGACGCATTCCTTCCCTTTCTGGTGAAGGCCCTGCCCTTTCTGAAGAGGTGCTGTACTACTGACCCACATGTTCAGCCCTAGGGTTCAAAAGATGAGTCTTAGGGGTTTTTTTGTTTGTGTTTTTTTGTCGGTCGTGGGGCTTGAACTCTGGGCCTGGGTGCTGTCCCTGAGCTCTTCGGCTCAAGGCGGGCGCTCTACCACTTGAGCCACAGCGCCACTTCCAAGTCTTACTTTTTGATTATGATTATTGTAGGTGGGGAGGACCACTGCCCAAAGCCAATCTGAACAAAAAGCATGAGGATCTAGGCATGGCTCGAATGGAAGAGTGCCCTGCCCAGCAAGCGTGGGGCCCTGAGTTCCAACTCCAGCCCCAAAAAGAAATGTGTAATTTAGACTGTGTCACGGGCTCTCAGTCCTCACTGAGAAGAGACCAGGAGATTCTGCTTCACTTGGCCCCGAAGGAGCCTCAGGAGGCACACATTGGTTCATTTTCAGACATTAAGGAAATGACCCAGCATTTCTGGGCTCCATTCTACTTTTCATGACATCTTCTTATGAATTGTCAAGTTACATTCCCTAAAATTTTGTTGAAGATGTTTGTGTCTGTTATGAGCAGTTACTGGCTCCTCATCCATTTTGCTGATAAGGTCAGACCTCACAGACACTAGTGCTTGTGCTTGTGTGTTTGTATAGCAGTGTGCTCTTTCTTCTTCTGCATCTGGTAGAATCAGCTATGAACCCTGTCTGGAACTTTCTTGGTTAGAAGATTTTTAACTAAAATTCAGTTTACTGAATAGACAGTATCCTATTTCTTTTGGAAGAATTTTGGTAGTATACTATCAAGACCTATCTTTTCTTGGGTACCTGTGAGTCATGCCTGTAATCCCAGCTACTTTGAGGCTGAGATCAGGACGGTCGTGGTTCCAGGCCAGTCCCAGGCAGAGACGTCTGCAAGACCCTCTCCATGGGAGAAGCTGTGCCTGGTGGTACACGCCTATCATCCCAGCTGCAAAGAGGCAGATGTCCGGTGTGTGCTCCTGGGGCGGGGACATGAGCCATCTCAGAACTAAAAAGCGGTGGGGGACTGGCTCAGCAGGGAAGCACCTGCTGAGTTCAAATGCCAGTCGTGAAAAAAAAAAAGATATAAAGTGTATTGGAGCAAATAATTCACGTTTCCTCACTTTCCTTGGCGACTCGGATCTTGTTGTGTAAGGTCTTCGGCAGATCAGTGCTCAGTCAAGAGCTGACCTCTCTGACCTCTGACCCCTTTCCTTTCCTTGATGCAAAGCAGGGGTTTCCCATCCTCAGCCAGCACCAGCAAAGGCCTCTTCCTGCTCCCCGGCCTGGGGGCTGAGCCCTCCTTTCCCCCCGTGCCTTCTCCCCATGCTCTGACGTGAAGCCAGTGGGGCCCTGGCAGGACCTGCCTGGCTTTCCCTGACTCAGACCCACGGACTTCCTTTCCTCTGTCCAGGGTCTTGAGGCCCATCTCCGGAGAGGTGATGGTGGCCCCTGTCACTCCATCTCGGGCAGAATTAGAAATCCCAGCTAGGGTTTGTGCAGGCACGCTGACAGCAACACCTGGCACTGTTGACCTTATTGCTTTATCCTTTATTGGACCATAGAACCAGGCCTTCCTAGCCAGAAAGGCTTTTAGGAAGAAATGACAGTAGCTCCACTCAATGTTGACTAAAGGCTATTTCTTTTCTCTTTTCCTTTAAGTAGTTGTACAACAGGGATTATCATTCAATGTGCCAGCTTGTAAGTTCAATGCATCTTGATCAGCATCACTGTTTCATCATTGGCTAGATACCGTTTTCTTTTATATCGCTAAGGCGTAGTGTTTTCCTTACTCTGCCCGAGAGCTGTGCCTCGGAGTTCAGTGCGGAGGGTTCTCCAGCCCCATGGTCCCCACTGCTGGTGATTTTCCATATCTGATTCCTAAAATATTTGAAATGTAAGCCTCCGAAGGCAGAAGGGAATTACGCCAAGATCCCAAATTACAGAGGGTGAGAGTCAATTAGTTTGAGCTTTCTGTAAAGCAACTTGGCAGAGTCTAAGCAGAGCCTGCAGTGCACATCACACTCTTGACTTTGGAATTCCATCTAGAGATGCATGTGCTAAAGTGATTACCCCCACATTTGCAAGTCACCAATGTCAGTGACTGCCGCACTAGTTAAGGTGGTGGAGACCCGGAAAGGAAGGGGCGAGACCACACCGCTACTTACACTGCTATCCATCAAAAGCCGGACAGTGGCCTGTCCCCACAGGGGTGACGGCAGCAGAATGCAAGGCGAAGCACACCGGGAGATGGCAGCGCCGACGGAGCCGAGGAAGCGGCTCAGCTGCAGCACGTCACTGCACAAGCCCTCCACGCCACTCTGCTTCCCCATCGTGGGACTTCCTGTGAGGAGTGGGCAAAGAAGGAAAGATTTAGACAGGGTTCTGTGTGCTTGAAGACAAGACGGTGTTAAAGGGAAGAGCAAGATGTAATTCAAGACACAATAAGCCTGGTTTCCTTGAAGATACAAGGCATGCATTCAGTTCATGTACTTTGTGTTTTGAGCATGAGGAAGTAAAATAACTTTTGTTTTTAAAACATAGTTCCTTAAAGTTAGCTGTAATCCAGGAGAGAGCCAAAAGACTGTGTGTGTGTGTGTGTGTGTGTGTGCGCGCGCGCGCGCATGTGTATCCTAGGGCTTGAACTCAGAGTTCTTGCTCTCGCCCCTGAGCAAGAGAGCTCATGATTGGTGCTCTACCACCTAAGCCCTGTCTCTAGCTCAGCATTTGCTGCTTAATTGGAGATGGAGTCTCATGGACTTTTCTGCCCAGACTGGCTTCAAACCATGATTCTCCACCTCCTGAGTAGCTAGGATTACAGGTGTGAGCCCTTGGTAGCTGGCTGGGAAAGGGCTTTTATTCCCACAGGGTGCTGACTGTGCGGTAGAGAGGGAGCGGTGTCCCCAGTGTGCGGCAGGGGAGACCTGCTCACGGGCCCCTCAGCTGTGCTCCTGACTGGCAGTGCGCGACCTCTCAGGGCCCAGACCTGTGCCACAGGAATGTGGCGGAGAGAAGCAAACTCAGACACGAGCCTGCAGACCTAGCAGCTCCATTTGCTGGCTGGATCCTCAGAAGACTGGACAGGTGTGCAGAGAGGTGCGCAGGATGGAACAGCGCTACTGCAGGGAACAGGCAGGGGAAGGGCAAGCACCACTCCTGTCGCCAGGCATGCTGGGAAAGCCTCACGGTGCCGCGGGAAGTTTCCCAGTGTCATCTCCAAGCAGTTCACCAGGACCGCTCTAGAGGCCACGTGGGCCTGGCCTGACCTGCGGAAGGGTCTCAGGGATGAATGTCAGCATGCCTGCCCACTCTGAGGACATTCCTGGGAAGTGTACAGCCAGCAAAGGCATGCTACTGGACTACTTTTGTATCTTAAGAAGCCAAGATAGCCAGGTGCCGGTGGCTCACGCCTGCTATCCTAGCTACTCAGGAGGCTGAGATCTGAGGATCGTGGTTCAAAGCCAGCCTGGGTAGTAAAGTCCGTGAGACTCTTATTTCCAATAAACCACCAGAAAACCAGAAGTGGCGCTGTGGCTCAAGTGGTAGAGCACTTGCCTTGAGCTGAAGAGCTGAGGGACAGCGCCCAGGCCCAGAGTTCAAGCCCCACGACTGACGAAAAATTTAAAAAAAGAACCAGTGATGTGTGTGGCGCCTGTGCCATGTGTGGCAGGGGCAAGCCGGATGTGGTGTTGGCATGCTCGCTCCTTTTCTGTTTCAGGACAACGTGTTAAACATCATCAGCCAGATCATGGATGAGTGCATCCCCCAGGACCGCGCCCCTCGGGATTTCTGTGTCAAGTTCCCCGAGGAGATCCGGCATGACAACCTGGCTGGCCAGCTGTGGTTTGGTGCTGAGGTAGGAAGTGGCTGTTTGGGTTCCTGGGTGTTAGGTTGGGTTGGCCTTGTCCAGGCCGTGCCCGTAGCACGCTGGGCACCGCGGGGCCCAGGGCCTGCTGTCTGCTCCAAGGGAGACAGCCGCAACGCTGTGTGGCAGAGGTGGTTTTTAATGAGATTCCCAGGGCTCCACACACCCAGGATCACCCCCCCCAAAAAAAAGGACTTGTAGTAACACTACCGCTATCAGTCAGGCTATCCTTACTAAGGGGCCTTGATTTTTGCCACATGTCATAGTAGTCCATCAGATCTTTATGTTTATTTCCCATTGGGGACACTGAGGCATCCAGAGGAAAGGGCCTGCCCTGTGAGGCGCAGGACCAGTGTCCCCAGCCCCGGCCTCCCGCAGCCCCGCTGGGGGTCACCCAGGCACCTCGCATTGGCTGTGCTCTGCAGATGTTGAGGTTCAGGGGTGGGGCTGCCGCCTGCTGCCTGTCACCCCGTGCGGTCCCGTTGTCTCTGTAGCCGCTTAGCCCTTGTGCCCCACACGGCAGACCCCTCACCCCTAAACCACTGGCTGGGAAAGCCTCCGGAGTCCTGGCTGGTTGTGGTGAGCCAGCACCCTGTACCCACGTCCAACCTCGGCGTGCTCCTCGGTGAACAGGCCCTGCCGCTGGCCTGCTGGGCGCCTGGGCCCCGGGCTGCTGGCCTCTCAGGTGTGGTCCCGGGGCCCCCAGCTCCGCGCTCGGCATGGCCAGAAGCTGAAGCGGGGACCTCTTGCTCTGCTACTCAGGCAACTGCCCTCAGCGGGCACTGCAGATGGGCTTGGCCCTAACAGGTGAAGGCCGAGCAGGTGTGAAGGCACCCCCACCCCAAGAGGACACCCTCCTCCCACCGTAGAGGCTGGCTATACCCCCACCCCTGACCCGAGAGCAGTCAGTAAAAGCCCAGAACACAGAGTGAGGCTGGAGGCCTGGCAGAAGTGGAGGCTTTGTGGTCAGGGGGCTCTTCACCGGCCCAGAGCCTGGCATGCTTAGGGGAGTGGGTCTGGGTTCCAGGCTGGTTGGGTTTCTCCAGCCTTGAGGTGTCTGTGATCTCCCTGAAGGTCACCGTGCGTGGGGTCGGTTCAGCCCTGGTGTGTTGTGCTGAGGACACAGGCCCGAGCGGGGCTTCTGGGAACTCCAGGCCCATGGCCATCCTGTGTGCTGGTCTGGAGGGGACAGGAGCCCCACACTGGGGGGCTGTGCGAAGCCCTCTCTGAGCCCCGTGCCCTGCCTGCCTCCTGGGTCCCTGCCGAGGCCCTGCCCATCTCTGTGGGGACACCTGTTGTGGTTGTGGCTGCCCTGAAGTGATGGAGGCCTCAGGAGGGGCACCGTCAGGAGCAGGTGCCCAGTCCTGGCCCAGAAGAACATGGGTGCTCAGGCCCCGGGGCCTGCGGTCAAGTCCCTACAGACAGGGTGGCCCCTGGGAGCCCCGGGCTACTCCCACGCCTCTCCCCGACTTCTGCCCACAGTGCCTGGCCGCGGGCTCCAGCATCATGAACCGAGAGCTGGAGAGCATGGCCATGCGGCCCCTGGCCAAGGCGCTGACCCGCAGCCTGGAGGACGTGCGGGGTGCCCTCCGCGACCAGGCGCTGCGCGACCTCAGCACCTACACCGAGAGGATGCGGGAGGCCCTGCGGCAGTTCGACATCCTCTTCGCAGAGTTTGAGCTCAGGTGACCCTGGGGCCCAGGTGTGGGGGTCACCGCCTTTGCCCTCCAGGTCAGGGAGTGACAGCTCCTTGGGGCTCATCCTGGAGTTTCCCGCTAGAAAATGGAGAAGTTGGGGTCTATGGTGCCACCTGTGTGTGGGGTTAACCCTGGGGGCACCGTGGGGATGAGCGGGGATCTGACCTGGGGGTCTTGCAGGGTCCTGGCTATGATGGGCTTCCGGGGGAGACTTGTTGGGGAACCAAGAGGCATGGCAGGCACACTGAGATGAGCAGACGTGACCTGTGGGGACACGGCAGGTACCCTGTGGTAGACGTACAACTGCGACCTGTGGGGACACGCGGCTGTCACCTGTGGGGACACGCAGCCGTCACCTGTGGGGACACGCGGCCGTCACCTGTGGGGACACACAGCTGTCACCTGTGGGGACACGCGGCCGTCACCTGTGGGGACACGCAGCTGTCACCTGTGGGGACACGCGGCCGTCACCTGTGGGGACACACAGCTGTCACCTGTGGGGACACACGGCCGTCACCTTGTGGGGACACGCAGGCACACTGTGCTACCACATGCAGCTGTGAAGAGGTGGGATGCAAAATCCATGGCCAGCAGTCACAGTGGTGAAGATTGCACTGTGATGTGTGGAGCTCTGCTGGGTCCGCGCAGGGAGAGGCCCCCCTTGCCGGAGCACAGACAATTGCGCCTTAACTCCTTCCCTCCTTGGATTCCCAAAGCTTCCATAGCAAGAAAAGGTCAGGCAGTGGTTCTGAAGACAGCCAGCGTTCTCGCGGGGGACGGTTGAATGACCTCGCACGATGGCACTGCCCCTGGGCAGCCGCCCTGCTGGCTGTCCAGCCGGGGCTGACTCCCAGGCTGCAGAGAGGCATGCGGCCAGGCCTGTCCCCAGTAGGCGCACAGGCTGCTTACCACGTATCCATGCATGCAGTCGTGGCCCCCCGCCTCTGCCCCGTTCTGGCCAGGGTAAAGGTGGGGACAGTCATGAGAGGCAACCATGGTTTCGGGTGGTCGGGGCTGACACGGTGCAGGCTGTGGGGCCTTCCAGGTCTGCCCTGGCAGGAGCTCTGATTTAAAATACCAGTAAAGCTAGGAGTTGTACATTTATGCAGTTATGACCTGCAGCACTGTTGAGAATTAGGGGTTTAATGTAATACCTTGTCGAGGAGGCCTGGGAAGAGCCGAAGGCCTGACAGCCCTTGCTGTTTGCAGCTACGTCTCGGCCATGGTGCCGGTGAAGTCTCCCAGGGAATACTACGTGCAGCAGGAGGTCATCGTGCTGTTCTGCGAGACCGTGGAGAGGTGAGGGCGCTGTTCCCCTGCCCTGTCCCAGGCCACAAGCAGCCCGGTCATCCCTGTCAAAGCTGCTGGAGTTTGGAAAACCCTGGTCCACTGCCTTCCCCACCCCGCCTCCTGCTGGTCCAGCCCCATGCCCCCCTGTGCTTCAGGCTGAAGGGCCAGGGCACTGCTGGAGTCCTGCGGGGGAGCACAGCACAGAGCGTTCAGCTTTGATGCTTCTGCCCAGACCTCGGACTCCCTCCTCCACCTCCCCCTGGGAGGGGCCCCTGTGGGCTCCAGGCCTGCTAAGCACCACCGCAGGGTGGGCCTTCGGTACCCCTCAGGCCTGGCCCAGATTCTTACATTTGGATTTTGGGGCCAAGATTTCTCCTGGAGTATTGCCCCAATTTGTATAGTGCTGTTGGCACTAAGTGATTTACAACTGACTAAAGCACACCGTAGTTTGTAGGTTTAAAAGGGGCTGTCTGTTCTTTTGAGAGATGTTTCAGATTGCCAGGACACAGGGTGACCTGGCAGCAGCAGCACCTGCTCAGGGGTGTCGGCCGGCTGGCAGGGCGGCTGGGAAGCTCCCTTGCTTGGGGATCGTCTTTGCCCCATGTTTATTCTTGGCACCAGGGTTGTGTCAGTTTCCTGGTGCAGCAGAGCAAGGGCTGCACGGCCTCTTCTTTTGCTCTGTTGGGTGTCACAACAGACGCCCAGTGGCACAAGTAGGTCCTCTGTGTTTTCTGTCCTTTCGTGGGGCCAAAGGAAAGCTGGAAAGTAGCCTGGGCCTCCATGCAGCGGGGAGCCCGCTGCGCTGCACGCGGGCTGCTGCTGGGTGCAGGTCACCCTCCAGGCTCGTCCTCTGGGGTGATGAGGCCCGGCCTGAGCAGACTGCGCTCCCCGACGTGCTGGGGGCCTGGCGCAGGCGCAGTGGGCCGCGCTCCCCGACGTGCTGGGGGCCTGGCGCAGGCGCAGTGGGCCGCGCTCCCCGACGTGCTGGGGGCCTGGCGCAGGCGGAGGCGAGTGCTCACGCTCTGTCTTCCTCGGCCAGGGCCCTGGACTTCGGGTACCTGACCCAGGACATGATTGATGACTACGAGCCGGCTCTCATGTTCACCATCCCCAGGCTGGCCATCGTGTGGTGAGTGCCCTCCTCCCCTACAGTCACGAGCAGAATCCTCGTGGCCCATCCCTGCGGAGGCCGCCGGGGCCTCTGTTAGCCGCGGCCCAGCAGTGGCTGCTCAGCCACTGGCCCCGTGCGCTCTTCAGGCTGGCCACGTGAGCTCTTCAGGCTGGCCCCGGTGCACTTTCCGGGCTGACCCTGGTGCGCTCTTCAGGCTGGCCCCGTGCGCTCTTCAGGCTGGCCCCGGTGCACTTTCCGGGCTGGCCCCGTGCGCTCTTCAGGCTGGCCCCGGTGCACTTTCCGGGCTGACCCTGGTGCGCTCTTCAGGCTGGCCCCCGTGCACTTTCCGAGCTGGCCCCGGTGCAGTCTTTGCGCTGGCCCTGGTGTGCTTTCCGGGCTGACCCCGGTGTGGTCTTCGCGCTGGCCCTGGTGCACTCTTCGGGCTGGCCCCGGTGCGCTTTCCGGGCTGACCCCGGTGCGGTCTTTGGGCTGGCCCCAGTGCGGTCCCAGCGCTGGCCCCGGTGCACTCCCCAGGCTGGCCCTGGTGCACTTTCTGGGCTGGCCCCGGTGCGCTCTTTGAGCTGGCCTTCTGGCCTCCCCTGGCAGATGAGTAGCCAAACATCCTGAGCACCCCTGATTTGCTCAGTGGTGAAGGGGAGCTCCCACTCCGAGTAGTGCGAGGTGGCTGAGCCCTTGCCACCTGACGCAGGACGGCAGCCTGCTGGGCACAGGCTCACTCGGGGAGGCCAGCTACACCCCACGCAGAACCTGTCAGGTGACCAAGGGAGCAGAGAGACACGAGGACAAGGTGTCCCCTGGCTTCTGCCAAAGGACAGGATTGGTTTGACTGCATAATTTCTGGACAGGCCGGGAAGCAGAACCTGCTAGGCTGGAGACCAGGTGGATGGCAGCCTGGAGGCAGGCTGGATACCTGGTGAGCCCCTGCCCCTCGGGGGACGCGGGTAGAGCTGGCACGCAGGGCCTCAGCCTCCAAGGGGTTAAGGCCGTGCGTGAATGAATTCAGGCCCTGCATATACAGCAGTAGAACTCTTTGTGTCTCTGAGCATTTCTGAGCTTCTCAGGGTCAAACTCTGAGCCCTGTGTTTGGGGGTGTCCTTGGTTGTTCAACCACACCTTGACTCCAGAGACGCCTCACTGAGGCCTGGAGAACACAGAGCAGACACACGGTGGAGCGTGGGGGCACAATGAAGTATGAGCACAGTGGAAACATGGGGTGCTGCTGAAGCATCGGGACAGGCCAGCGCCCTGGGCCTGCAGAGGACAGGTACATCCCTCACCACAGCAAGGCCTGACCACCCTCCCTACAGATGACAGGCACAATTGCCACCACAGCGAGGCCTGACACCCCCTGACCACCCTCCCTACAGATGACAGGCACAATTGCCACCACAGCGAGGCCTGACCCCCCTGACCACCCTCCCTGCAGATGACAGGCACGCCCCTCACCACAGCGAGGCCTGACCCCCCCTGACCCCCCTACCTGCAGATGACAGACACGCCCCTCACCACAGCGAGGCCTGACACCCCTGACCCCCCTCACCACAGCGAGGCCTGACCCCCCTGACCCCCCTCACCACAGCGAGGCCTGACCCCCCTGACCTCCCTCCCTACAGAGGACAGGCATGCCCCTCACCACAGCGAGGCCTGACCCCCCTGACCCCCCTCACCACAGCGAGGCCTGACCCCCCTGACCTCCCTCCCTACAGAGGACAGGCATGCCCCTCACCACAGCGAGGCCTGACCCCCCCTCCCCAGAGTCCTGCACTACCTGGCCAGGCTCAGGCTCCTCACTGACCAGCCCTGTAGGCTTTTCCAGAACCCTCCAATGACCCAGACCCCTGGCCCTTCCCCTTACCACTCTTGGTCTCAGCAGTCAAGTCAGCAAATCCAAAGAGGTCGCCTCACACCGGAGGGCCAGTACTTTATGTACTATTTTTTACACTGAATTTTGTATCCCAGGCTGGCCTTGAACTCAGGATCCTCCTGCCTCAGCCTCCGAAGTGGTGTGATTGCAGGTGTGCACCCCCCCCCCCAGTGGGATGGCACGTGAAGCCCGTAATTACTTGAATTTTGGAATTTGGGTTGGTCAGGGTGAAGTGTGGAGAGACATGTCCCAGGAGACGAGGAGCCTGAGCACAGGACCACTTCTTCATGCTGTGCACCCCGAGTCTGCCCTGCTGGCCCAGGGGTCCGCCCACCCACGGCAGAGCTGGGCGGTTGTGGGAGGGCTTCCCGGGGGGACCCCCCCTCTGGGCTCAGGCTGGAGGGACGGCCTGGAAAGTGGCTGGGGGGGGTCCCCAGGAGATGGAGGAAGGTTGTGTGCTCAGGCAGAGCATGCACCAAGGCCCACTGACAGGGCTCCTACCTCACAGCAAGGCCGTGTACCCAAGGAATCAGGCCCCGACTGGTTTCAGGCCAGTCCTGAGGCTGCCCTGCGATGGACTTCACTGGCTCCCGCAGGACTGCAGCCTAGCGCCCTCTTCATTGGCTACAGAGCCATTCTGGACCAGACACACAGAGTCTACAGCCGCTCATGGAGGGGCTACTGCTGTCCATGGAGGGGCGACTGCTGTCCATGGAGGGGCTACTGCTGTCCATGCAGGGGCTACAGCCGCTCAGCTCAAGGCCTCCCTCCTGTAATTACACACATCACGAGTGACCACTGTACACCTGAACGCTGCTTGTTGCACAGAGACTGAGCTGCCTGTGAGGGAGGAGACCGGGGTTGGAGAGACTGAGTCTTCCCAAAACTGGTTTTAAAGGCTTTATCTTAGAACAGTTCTTTTTAGTATTATTGTTTTTGTCATTATATAAAGTTGAGAACCAAGGGTTACAGTTACGTAGGTCAGGTAAAGGATACATTTCTTTGGGGTCAATGTTACTTGAATAGTTCTTTTTTTTTTTCTCCACAGTGGACTTTTTAAGTTGACCATGGCAAAGCTGGGGCAGGGAGACAAATAGTTCTTTTAAAAGAATAAAACTAAAATCTTGACCCAGCGACTGACCAGCGCAGACCAGGTTGCTGGGACTGGTCCATCGCCGGCCTCAGGGGGTCTGAGGGAGGAGGTAGCCCAAATAGCCACCTGGGGATAAATGATAACCCAGTGTGTGTGTGCACGGTGAGACGCGATGTCTCCATGAGAACGGAGTGCTGACGCCGCACAGCGACCGTGACCGTGAACACAATGGGGAGTGAGAGCAGAGCTGCAGGTCACACACTGCAGGATTCAGTTTACATGGGACGTGCTGTGTGGGTGAACTGGAGACAGGAAGTGGGGGGCTGGAGACAGGAAGTGGGGGGCCAGAAGGTGGCATGGGGGGCAGAGGAGAGGACTTATTTGCAGGTACTCTTGGAGGGGGTGAGAGGCGGAGCTTACACAATACTATGTATTTACCCAGCGGCACCACGCTTTAAAGTGGTGAAGGGTGGGTTTTGCAGCCTCTTCCAGCCGGGTTCCCGTGTGCGTTGTGTCCCGGCATACATGCCACCGGGACCATGCCCCCGTCCCGCTCTCCAAGAGCACATGGGCATCAGTGGCCAGGCCAGTAGGACTCTGCAGGTGTTCGCTGAGCTCCTGGAACACAATGTCAGCAGCCTTGCCCTTGTTCACAGGGACACAGAGAGCCGGTCTGCCCTGTGCCATGCCTGCCCCTCGAGTGGTTTGGGCTGCTCCCAGGGCCTCAGTGCAGGGGGCAGGACGGGCGCAGAGCAGGCGCTTGTGGTTTGAGTGCTCCAGTGTGTGAGCACAGCTGGGCACAGGGCCCTGGGGCACAGGGCTGATGCCTGAGATTCCAGAGGAGCCCAGCACGGCCAGGCCCTGGGCAGCAGCCCCTTCTCACTGCTCTTAACTGGGCTGCTGTGGGGCTCTGCCCTGACCTCACCCTGGCGGGCCAGGTGTGGGAACACTGGCCACTGAAGGGCACCGCGGGCGGGCACATGCTCAGGTCAGCCACTCAGAGGGGACTGCTCTGTCCTCAGCTGACAGGACTGTAGGGATTGCTGAAGGCCGGGGCGGCCTCTCAACACCCAGCCCCCACCTCCAACCACACATTCTCGGCTCCTTTTCTGCCTCTTTTCACTGTCCTGAGGCCACCTGGTTTACCGTCAAAAGTTAAGGCCCTATCTTGCGAATTTGTCACCTAAATTATGTTTATTTGATCCTTGTGGATGAGGCTATGTGGTCCTCCACTGTTCTCCAGTAAAACAAAACAAAACAGAATCCAGGGACAGATGGACTTCCCCGAGCCCCTCAGACACACCGAGACCCTGCCGTCTGCTTCCTAGGGACCCAGCGGGGAGCACCTAGGGCAGGGTCCCGGGGCGAAGCTCTGGGAGAGCCGGCTGGGCCATGGCTGATGGAGGCACACACAGAGCAGCCGCGCATGGTGGGGAGGCTGGGGCCAGCCTCTCTGTGGTGATGGCCAGAGCGATTCTCAGGGCCGTCAGCCGGTGCTGAGCCGGAGGGCATGCGGGGGAGGGGAAAGCCAGCCTCCCCTGCCGGGGAACAGCTCTGGGGGCTTTGTGGGTGTCTGGGCAGTGTGATGCTTTTCCCACTGCACAGTGACGGTACTGGAGGGAAGACTCCGGCTCTCATCCAGTTCTCCGACCCGGGCCAGGGTTTGGAATCCTCTCAGGCCTCCCCAGCTCCATTCTCATGTCAGTGAGGAAGATCTGAGGACCAGATCCCCATGCTAATTTTTCTGATTGCAGCACTGATATGTACAATTACACTCTTTTTTCTTTTTTCTTTGCTTTTTTTTTTTTGTCGGTCGTGGGGCTTGAACTCTGGGCCTGGGCGCTGTCTCTCAGCTCTTCAGCTCAAGGCGAGCGCTTTACCACTTGAGCTACAGCGCCACTTCCGGTTTTCTGGTGGTTTATTGGAGATAAGTCTCACAGACTTTCCTGCCCCGGCTGGCTTTGAGCCGTGATCCTCAGATCTCAGCCTCCTGAGTAGCTAGGCTGACAGGCGTGAGCCACCTGTGCTGGCTACAGTTACATTCTTAGGACTATCTTATGACTCCCTAATCCACTTCAAAAGGTGCTCAAGGCTGGGTGGTGGCTCCAGTTGCTTTCTCTGTAAACATATTTGATTAAGTCCTAGAGGTGAAGGGTGAGGCTGCACCACACCCCAGTGGGTATCACTTAGAGGTGGGGTTCTGGGACTCACGCAGGGGCCACGGGTCTGACCACGCTGGCTCCCATGTCTCAAATGCAGCGGCCTCGTGGTCTATGCAGATGGGCCCCTGAACCTGGACCGCAAAGTGGAGGACATGTCCGAGCTGTTCCGGCCTTTCCACACGCTGCTGCGGAAAATAAGGTGAGGGCTGAGTGGTGGTGAGGGCGTGGGGGGGGGGGTGTGCTGGGACGGTGGTGCCGGCGCTCGCGTTCAGCCCCCTCCACCATTCACAGTAAGTTGTAAAAACAGCCCAGATGCCTTCTAGCAGATGAGCGGACCGAGAAAATGTGGTATCTACACACCATGGGATTTTCCTCATCTATCAGAATAATATGTCATTTGCAGGGAAATGGAGAGACCTAGAACAAATCATGTTAAGTAAGGTAAGCCAGGCTTAGAGGGACTAAGGGGACCTGTTTACTCTCATATGTGGAAGTTACATATAAAATACAAACATACATGATAGCAGATACAGGTGATATGCACGGACACACAAGCAAACTAGGGGAGGTCCAACGGTGAACTACTCTGAACAATAATGGACTGTTTGTTAAGCGAATACCCGGAAGCGGAAACAAGGAGGGCATGGGAAAGGAGGGAGGAAGGGTGAGCAAATGTCATTATATTCAACGTCTACTATGTAAAAATTTGTGTAACTTGAGGTGGGGATGGGATGGGGAAAGCTGGAACTGCTGGTATTGGACAAGATACATTGTACTCGTAACCTGACCCCTGAACTTAACTACTTAACCACGAATAAACAAGAGCAATGCAACGAGGGAGGGAAGGAGGAAGGAGAAATGGTCTTCAGATGGCTGTCATCTGGCCCTGAGTCAGGGAGGACCCCGGAGACCCTGGTGTAGTGGACGCACATTGGGTGCTGAGCAGTGCGGGCACCCGTGCCCTGGGTGCGTTCCTGCTGCCGCCACTGCTGCCAGCGGGGGGCTGTGTCCACTCCTGGCCAGGGAGGCCGGCGTGGTCTTTGGGACCCTCACCATGTCTCTGTCTTGACTGTAGGGATTTACTCCAGGCGCTGACGGAAGAGGAGCTGCACAGGCTGGAGCGGAGCCTCTGTGTCTCGCAGGACGCGGAGCTCCCGATGCAGGCGGATGCCCAGCCACCCACCGCCCTGGCACCCACCTTTCCAACGCCCCTCCCCCCCGAAGAGCTGCTCTCAGCCAAGGCCAAAGACCCGGAGGCCGAGCTAGCCTGCTCCATGCAGTACGACGACCAGGAGCTGGAGGAGCTCAGCCGGATGGTCCACAGGGCGGGCGACGAGATGTCCTCTCTGCTGTCGCCGCCCAGTGCCTGCCAGTCCCCGGCCCGCAAGCTGGGGGCCGAGGGCAGCCCCCGCGGGGAGGGGTCTCCCGGCAGAGCGCCGCTGAAGGCAGGCAGCTTCGAGGAGGAGAGGGTGTTCTTCATGGACGATGTGGAGGTGGCGGAGGCCCCGGGTGACCCATTTGAGTGGGCAGACGGCCCCCCAGCTGGCGCCCAGGATAGCGGGCCCCGAGGCGGGGTGGGAGCCAACACTCCCACAGCGGGAAAGACGGAGGACTGGAGCAACAACAATAACGAGGAGGAGGGCGAGAAGCGGGCGGCCGGCCTGGCGGGTACCTCCTCCTGCAGCTGCCTGGACGGCTGGGAGGCCAGCACCGAGGACGCCGAGACAGCCGAGCTGATCGCTCACCGCACGGGTGGCATGAAGCTCTCCGCCACCGTCATCTTCAACCCCAAGTCTCCCGCTACGCTGGGCCCCGCCACGGTCCCCCAGGAAGTCCCCGGCCACGCCGCCTCCCCGCCGGAGCCCCGGGCCGAGGCCGAGGGGGGCCACGCGGCCTCCAGCTGCCTCCTCCACTCCTGCGTGTGCTGCCGTAGCTGCCCGGGTGGCCGGGAGGACGCGGTGGAGCCCCTGCGGGGCCTCCTGGACGCCCCTCACCCCTCCACCGGCTTAGCCAAGGCTGGTGACAAGCGTCCCGAGAGACTGGATGACACCCCGCCAGCCCCCACGTCTCCTCGGCCCTCAGAAGATGCCTCTGACGGGCGGGAATGCGACGGTCCTGCCCCCACCAAGTGCCTCACACATGCCTCAGGGCCCCAGGGGGCTGCAGCCCCCGGGCACAGAGGAGAGGGTCTGGCCACGAGCCAGCTGAAGGGGCCCGAGGCCCCAGAGGGGAGCCCCGGGCCTTCAGGAGGAGGAGACACAGCCCAGGCCCGGCCGCCTCACCCAGCAGGCTGCAGGTAAGCATGGTCTGCCCAGACCCGTGGCTGGGCCTGCCTTAGACCCAGGACCCATGGAGCATGCTGCCCACTGACCCTTGCCGGCCACCTGCGTGCTGAAGGGAGGGACACAGGCCCCTGGTGGTGGGTGCGGTTCCTGGGGGCCATGATGGGACTCTATCTGTCCCTCTAGAAGGTTCTCAGGAGTGTTCCCAGGAGCCCAGGCTTTGTCTGACCACCTCTCCAAAGGCATCTGTAGATCTCCCTCCCACCAGGGCCCCTGCACACTCCCTGGAGACAGGACAGTGGGTGGTAGCAGGGTAGGGAGAAGGGCCCTCAGGACCATACCCATGCCTGAGGCTGTCTCCTTCCCCAGTCCCCCCGCCTGGGCCTGTCCTCCACAAGGCAGACCAGCAAGCCGCTCCGGTGGCAGCATCATGGCCTGTTTTGTCTTTAACCTTGGGTCTAGCCAGTGTCACACTCAGGGTCAAGGCGTCCTCCGGGTGAGAGGCCCCTTCCCTGGACCCTCACTTCACAGGCTCCACTGAGACAGGCGGAGGAAGGGCTCAGCCTGGAGCCGGGCTGGGAGGGGGCTTCTGGGAGGGCTCAGCCTGGAGCCGGGCTGGGAGGGGGCTTCTGGGAGGGCTCAGCCTGGGGCCGGGCTGGGAGGGGGCTTCTGGGAGGGCTCAGCCTGGAGCCGGGCTGGGAGGGGGCTTCTGGGACTCCAGCAGGCAGTGTGTCGCCAGTGTCCTCCGGCCGTGCGGGGGTGCGGGAGGAGCCCTCCAGGGCTCTCGGGCCTCTGCTGCCCAGTCAGGCTGGGCCATGGCGCCTGGGGTCAGCTGTAGCCACTTGAGCAGCAACATGCCCCCAAAGCATAGCCCCGGCCCCGGCCTCCTTCCCAGCCCCTGGTGACCTCTAGGCTGCGTTCCACCTCGGGGGGTTTGCCGCCGTGGGCTTGGCGAACGAACCATAGGAGATACGGCCCTTTGCATCCAGCTTCTTCTGCCCAGCATAGTGTGTTCAGGGTCATCCACATGGCTGTCCACCTCAGAAGCTTCCACTCTGTGGCTGAGTGACACCATGGTACAGACGGGCACCCTGTGTCTCTGGGCACCGGCTGAGGTGCGCCCTGCGGTCGTGGTGCCGCTGTGTGGCTAGGTGCGGGGTTTTCTGGGGACACGTGGCTCAATCGTGTTTAAACGGTTAAGGAGCTGCCAATGCACTTTCCAAGCCGGCCGCCCTGTATGTGCACTCAAGGATGGTTGTCTACATTTTTTTTCTGTCTTTAGGGCATAATCTCTAGAGTACACACCCAGTTGCTTTGTTGACTCCAAATTGTTCCTCTCTCTGAAGTTCTGCCAGCAATTTTACTCCTAGCAGGTTAACTTTGCATGAGATATATAGAGACTGCTGTTTATACTTAATGTAACTTTATATAAAATATTTGCATGGTTCCCAGCCAAATCTACAAAAGAAGATACACTCAGAGAAGCCTGTTGGAGATTTTATTCTCTTCCTGCTGCTAAAGGAAACAGGGTCCAGAGGTTTTATTGTTCAGTTTTCCATACTTTTGGTATTACTGCACTTGCTTAGTAGGTACTCTGTCTCTCTTGAGCCACGCCACTGGCCTCTTTTGTTTGTCATTTTTTTGTGTATGTCAGTCATGGGGCTTGAACTCTGGGCCTGGACACTGTCCCTCAGCTCGTCAGCTCAAGGCAAGCACTCTACCAGTTGAGCCATAGTGGTTTATTGGAGATAAGCGTCTCACAGACTTTCCTGCCTGGGCTGGCTTTGAACAGTGATCCTCAGATCTCAGCCTCCTGAGTAGCTAGGATTATAGGCATGAGGCATGTATTTGAAATTCAATTCCACTTGTGCGTGTGTGCGTGTGTGTGTGTGCGTGCGTGGGTGTGGGTGTGTGCCTGTGTGTCTGCGTGTGTGCATGTGTGTGTGCGCGTGTGCATGTGCGTGCATGTACATGCACGTGAGTGTGCGTCGTGTCATAGCTGAGATGACAGGCCTGAACCATTCAACCAGACTTTATTGGTAGAGCTTTGATCTCACAGACTTTTTACCCAGGTTAGCCTCAAACCCTGGTCCTCCTGAACTCAGTCCCTGAAGTAGGTAGAATTACAGGCATGAATCACCATGCCTGGCCATTCTTCCATTTTTAGGAGTCTAAGCAAAGGGAAATGGACACAGCTGCACACACTCCCGCTGATGAGCAAGTCACTGCTGCTCCAGGTGCTTCTCCCCCACTTCCTGACCCCGGCCCCGGCTTCTGCAGGCAGCGCACTTTCCGGAGGTGTTGTCGCTTTTGTTACAGCCAGGTAGAGCTGGTGTGGCTGGGCCACACACACTTGCCAGCTGATGCTGGTTGAGGCCATGTCCATGGTTCTGTGATCACAGTCCTGTGCTGGTCATGGGCTGTGTACAGGGTCCTGTGATCGCAGTCCCGTGGTGGTCATGGGCTGTGTTCAGGGTCCTGTGATCACAGTCCTGTGCTGGTTGTGGGCTGTGTTCAGGGTCCTGTGATCGCAGTCCTGTGCTGGTCATGGGCTGTGTTCAGGGTCCTGTGATCGCAGTCCTGTGCTGGTCATGGGCTGTGTACAGGGTCCTGTGATCGCAGTCCT